AGGGTTGAAAGGGAAGGGGTTGTGGTGTGTGTGAGTGTCATTACAGAATGTTGGACAAAGAGTTCCTAATGTCCTGCCTTGGGACCAGACTCTGAATGCAGAGGGAAGCCTGGGAGGGGAGAGAAATCATCATGCCTAAGGGCCCTTCCATCTCCATTTTAGGGGAGGGTAGGTGTTCTAGGGCTTGGGTATACTGCCTGAGAAGCTTGTTAGTGTTTCTTTGCTATTCACTGGGGATGAATTGTATCAGGTGATTGGGCAAGAAGAGAAAGTTCTCCCTTTATAAACAATGTAACTAAAGGAGATAAATGTGGAAAGTACATCTGAATAAAAGGAGATAAATGTGGAAAGTACAGCTGAATAAGAAAGGGTGGATATGTAAAAAGATCCAACAACTAGATGACAAGGTGGTTTCAAGTTTTTGAGCACGGAGTGAGTTAAATAAGAGAAGTTTTGAGAGAAACAGGTAAGATTGGCCTGCTAAAACTGGTGGATAAGAGGGAGGAGAAGAGGAAGAGGGAGAACAGGAGATGATTTGGTACAAAAGGATTAAGATCTTTTCCCATGGATAATTGGGGAAGGATCCAAGTGCTGTTCGGAGGTGCTCTAGCAGGAAATGAAGGAGGGTAAAAGACCTGGTTGTACAGGGGCTCTGGAGAGGGTGAGGCAAGTGCATCATGGTGGTTCTTGGTTCCTGATGGATTTTATCTGGAATTTGAGGGAGTTTGGGCATGTTAAAGTGGAGCTACTATATGGGGGTATTAGCATGGGGTAAAGCTTTAACTTTGAGATGTGGAGCCAGGTTTGGGGAAACTTGGTAAGTTTAACGGCCATATAAGTGGTAATAAGGGTAGAATATGGCCCTTTCCATGATAGGGAGAGCCCCGTTGTGACACTCTGTGAGCTTATATGACAATTTTGTCTCGGGTTTTAAATGAGGATATTGTTCTCCTGGGTCCGGTCGGGGTAAGATGAGGTCAGCGTGTTCCAGAAAAGATGTCATAAAGTGTTAACATTTTGCAGACAGT